TGCAGCTTCTTGCCAGGGTAACACAAGATTCTTCCTGGCCTCCAGGGTGCTGTAATATCGGCCTCAGCCGGCCTGGTCTCAGTCCAAGTTTCCTTCTGACTGCAAGCTGAGGAGATAGCGCTTTGGGCTTGGATGCCTGGGATTCCTCGTCCTCTGCAGATCACCCCGCACAGCCTGCCAGAGCCGCATTCCTCCTTCACGCGCCTGCAGAGAAGCCCCAGCCTTCCAGTCCCGGCCGGAGACTAGCCCCTCTTGCTCCGTCGTGGCTGGTTATGTCGTGCACTCTCCCCAGGAGTCGCGGCATGGTATGGGCCTCCTCGTCTTTCATGAGACAAGCTGGCTGGCAAATGTTGGCGCACGCGTCGCAGGCAAACGCTGCCCCTTGGCCCCTGCCCCCAAACCTCCCTGCATCCCAATGAGAAATCATCACAGGGAGAAAATCCCCTGCTCCTGGTCACTACTACTGTTCTCCGGGGGTTCAAACCCAGCCTTTCACAGGTTCCAGGAGCAGGGAGTTCAGCCCTCTGCCCTGCCCTGCCCTGCCCTGCCCTGCCCTGTAAGTGAGTCACGTCCGCGAGCAACGCTTCAGTTTCACCCCCTGTGGAGTGGGAGTGACGACACTGACCTTCCTTCGCAAGGTGCTCTGAGATCCGAAGGACGTGTTCTGGGGCCATTACCCCCCGTCCTGCTGAACCGGGGTGGGGGGGCGGCCCACCCTGCTGGATGGGTCACAGGACCTGCATTCCCAATCCCGGTTTTGTTTCCTCAGCCCTGAGCGGGTTCTCCAGGCACGAGAGACCCTGGAGGGGCAGTGGCACCACAAGCATCTTCTCCCTCTTCGCTCCTCGCTCCACCCACCGGCCTCATCCTTGCCTTGGAGCCAGGCAGGCCCGCCCGTCCCACGGCCGGTTCAACCCGTGGCCTCTCTGCTGAGGCTGCCACGGGGACGTGCGGTTTTACTGGTGTGGACACCTCTCCAGTAGGAACTGGGCTGAGACCCTTCAACTCAGTTCACACAGGCCCAGCATACACCGGGCCATGGGAGGAGGGGGTGCACTCTAGGGGGTGAGGGCAGAGCAGGGGCTGGAATAGTTTCACCTGGGTTAGCTCTGTGCTCCCATCTGCTGGGAGCTCATCTCTCCTTGCATCTAAGGAAACTGGTCTTGGCTCAATGGTATTGCAAGTCTGGCCCATGCCCCCGAGTCAGGAAGGGACACAGAGTAGGAATCAACCCAGGGCTCGAGGGGAGGAGCAGGGGCTTTCATGCTTTGTTTTACCCCCTGAGGATTGAGCGTGAAGTTCCAGCTGCCCCAGGCTCTTCTCTGCGTGCTGGGCCCCATGGCTGGGACGCAGCCCAGACCTGAAGTCCACAGCCTCTGGGCTGCTGGGGGGGAGATGGGGCTTCCCCCAACACTCCGAGGGGAGTCAGGAGAGGCCCTGCAGCCACAGGATGGGGCCCACTCCCCAGGTAAGCACAGCAATAGGAAGGAAGGGGGCATATGTGTGGCCATGTTTCATGCACCTTAACTGCTGCACGCCGGGACTTGCAGGTCCCTACGTGCGGGAGCTTGCAACACCTCTGCGTGTAGCACCGGAGAAAGAGGAGACGTGTCCCTGTCTGTGGACTCCTTGGGTGGGATGGACGTGTGGGATGGACGTGCCTTGGCATGAGATTGATTTCCTCAGTACTCAGCCCCCACTGGAGGGTGAACGCTGCCTTGTCCCAGCTCTGAGCATCGCCAGTGATGCTGGTTCCTCAGCTGCTGGCTCCGTCCTCTCGCAGCTCTGCAGTGCTTACGGAGCTGTGCAGGGCTCGTTGGCCAAGGAGCGATGGCTGCAGGATGCTGTGAAGCAGCCGTTGGGCGGAGGATGCAGAGCCCTTGACGTATGCCAGGAATGGAGGACTAACCTTCAGGCTATTTATAAAGCACCCAAGTTCCCGATCCATGGCATATGAAACAATAATAAACAGGGAGGAAAAAAACCAACCGCATCAGAACCACCAGCTCCTCTTGCTCCAGAAGGTTTCAATAAGTTACAAGTTATGACAAAACCTCACTGCAGCCCAAGTGCCTCTCGCCAACCTTTGTTCCACTAACCACAGCGGCCAGATCGCTGGCTTTGGGACAGCATGTTCCCGGAGATTCCCAGGGCTCTGGTTAGTGTCCAATCACACGATCAGCGATGTGGGCTCTGGGAAATGCTCCCAGCATCTGCACTTGCTGCGACAGCCCCTCCGTCAGAGAGCCTGTCTGTGTCCTCTGGGCAAATATTTACTCTAAAGTGCTCCCGGCCCACCAGGACCTTCTGGGGGACTAAGTGGTGTGGAGCGAGGAGCTAGTCTTGGCTAGCAGCATTAGCGCGGTGCGCTCCCAGCCTTCACCTGCGTCAGGGCAGCGAGCAGAGTCCAGGCAGGCCAATCCGGTAAACACCCTGGGCAGACGGTGATGGATTTCTGAGAACTTGGGCCTCCCCAGGGACTGGCTCGCCATGTGCGAAAGGCAGGGATCGTTCAGAGAACAGCATCCCATTTATGCCACCACTGACCCCTCCATACCTCTGCTTTCCCCAGCTCATGGGGCCTGATTCTGCTTTCGCCTGCTCTGGCATAAATCCAGAGGGACTGCACCATCAGAGGTGGTGTGAAGATGGTGGAAGCGTGAGACAAGGCCCATGGACTTGAAGGTCAGAATGGACTATTGTGCCAGGCCAGCCCCCCACAGGGACCTTTGCAGTACGGGCACCTATAGTTCCCTCCCATGGGACATGACTGAGCCCAGTAACCTGCGGTCCAACCAGAGCACAGCTGTTAGTTCTTGCTCTAAAGACTCCCAGGGCCTCGTGATTCCCCTGGCAGCAGGACCTCAGGGATGAGGATGGGGGCAGGAGGGAGAGCGCGAGGCTCAGTGCACCAATGTTTTTAAAGCACGGTGAGATGCTCAGAGGCCAGAGGTGGGGCAAAGGATGCTGCTGCTGCTAACTCCCCCCACCTGTGAGCGGTGTACAACAGCCGAACCACAGACACTGGAGATGGAAAAGCCATAATCAGCTAGTCCACCACCTGCCCTGGGGTTGAAGGCAGGATTGTTCCTTCCTGCGCAGGGAGGAGCCTAACAGCAAGGACTTTTCTAACACGTCTCCTCCACTCCCCGGCAGGTATTTTCCAGGCCTTCCGTTTGCCGTTGTCCGGGCAGCTACTCTGGCCCGCTCTCATCTCCTGGGCACTGGCCCTTACGTGGGAACCAGCTCCTGGACTGTTCTACTGGATAATCTCTGCAGACCCACTGTCAGCCAGCAAAGCTCCGGGAGGGAGTGACGTCTTTCCCAGCCAGTCGGGAGTTTGCAAAGGAAACTGCTTTCCATATGGCCTGTCTGTTCTTCTATTAAAGGAGGAATCATCCTAATACACTGATCCCTCGGACAGGGATCCTTCAGACAGGGCATAGACTGGGGATAACTGCTCTTGCCACTGAAATGCAAACACCTCTGGCATGGGACGTAGGAGCCAGCAGCATGACGCAGTCCTGAGCCTAGAGCTGGGGGAGACCCAGGGTAACTTCACTGAGGGGCCCTTTGGCCAAGAGAGCTGAGCTGACATTGCTGCTCCTGGGGAAAGGGAATCCGGACTGTGCCTGGTCAGGGCTTTGGGGTTGAACTAGCACCCGGGAGAGAGGAGGAGTCAATAATGAGCAGCCCTCGTGGTGAAGCAAAGAGCACAGAGCCCTGCACATACCTCTGTGTGAGCACAGAGTAGCCCGAGAGAGGGGCCCATCGCTGCGTGCTCCGTGCGCCAGGCTGGGCCCAGGCAGGGATCCCCTGAACGCAGCAGCCATAAAACATCTCTCAGACAAGAGCAGGGAGCTCCGAGGGCTCATTTTTATAGAAAGCCTCCAGCTCCGATCCCACAAAACCCACCTCACAAACGACACCCCCGCCTGGACGCCGTCAGCCCAGGGTCAGGGTCTTCATGGCCTCCAGCAGCTGGAGATGCTCTGCATCTCAATGGGCTCTGGTACTCGCTCTGTTCTTGTTCAGCCCACAGCACAATACACCCTCCTACCAATCCTGACCTTTGACGGCTGTGATCCGCCAGATCACCGAGTCCCTTCCTGCCCCGGGCAGCAAACTGCCCCTGGCCCAGCCCCGGGGTTCCATGACCGTCTGTATAAATGCACTCACACGGCCACTGTGCTGCACCCACATCCTGGTGCTCCACCGGCCCTTCACACCAGCCTCCCAGAGCTCCTCACGGGGCCTGAGGAGTGCTGCCGTTTGAGAGATGGGGAAAGCATTGCAGATCCTTATGCAGCCCACCAGGCTCTCAGGCCGGGCCTGCTGCCCCAGCGAATGTCCCAGCCCCTGAGAGGTCAAGGCAGGTGCTGCATGAGGCAGACTCCCCTGCTTCTCCCATGGGGCTGCCCAGGCTAGGGCGCAGTTGTGGTTTGACCAATGTCTCGAAAGCAAGGCCAAACCCTGACCGTGGTCAAGCATCTGTGCCTTGGGGCAGACATGGGCCTCCCCCACCCTCAGACACACAAACCCACCGGACTCCGGGGCCTCGCCTTCCAGTTTGGCGTATGTTCCCTGGGACAAGCCCCGCTACGAAGAAGTGAGTGCTAGGGCACATGGGACTTGCTCAGATGTTCTGTGCCCACGGCGCTGGGCTGCGCGAGCTCCGAGGCCCTGCAGATGTCTGGCAGGGTTGTGGGGCCATTGGACAAGGGTCCGTGTCTCTGATTCAGAGCTAGGAGGATTGCTCTCCACAAAAGCCAAGGCCAGGGCTGATTAATCCCTGCTTAGTACAATTGTTACACATTAACTCACTTGTTTGTCCCTTACTTTCCAGCTAGTGCTTTGCTGTCAATGGACTGGGTCCATAGAGCAGTATCAGCACAAGTCCGGTGCGTGGAACAGTAGCAAAGTTATTGCACAGATTTGGAACAGCTGGAGAACTCATGCCTCTGGGGCCCTGGATGTGCTGCTCCCAGAGCCCTTTAACCTGCCCCTTGCTCTGTGTACCTCCGACCCACCCACCGGGCTCCTTACAAATCACAATCAACTATTGAACAAATAGTCCTCAGGGAACAACAGGCAATCCAAGGGAGGGGGAGCTGAGCCTCCCACACGCTGGGCCACAGACAGCTCCACTGCGCTCTTGCCCTGCGCCACAGAGCTCGGAAGCAGCTGGGTTGCCGCCTGCCGGGGAAGGGGGGAAAGGAGGAGAGCAGAGATGGCATCTTCATGCTGGGAGCTAAGCCAGCTCCACTTCTCTGCCAGCTGTGAGTCTCCTCCCCCACGCATGCGAGGTTCTCCTGCGCCTGGACGGTGGGGCCGTCTTCAGCGGTCTTGCACCATGGCTGCTTCCCCCTCTGATAGTGACGGCACGACTGGCTACTGTGGTGATCGCTGTGATGTCCCAAGCGAATCGAGCCCGGAGGAAGCAGCCGGAGCAAGGGAATTTCGAAGGTGGCTGATGACCTGGTCTCAGGCCAACCCTCTCCCTGACCCCAGAACCCTGCAGAGTCGGGCGGAGGAACACGGAGAGTCCCCTTCATTAAAGGGAAGGCACCACGCTTCCTTGGGCCTGCGCCAAGGCCTCCTCCCCCCAGCCTGGCGAGAAAACCCATCATCATAACAACAGGGAATAGCGGGCACTTCGCTCCTCAGCTCCGGAGCGCAGGGGCCTGTTGCTTTGTGCAGTGCCCAGCTTAGTGGGGCTGGGGCCACTCCACAATCCTGCAGCACAACTCCCAGCAGCCTGCTCCAGCGTGGAATACGCCCCAGCCCCCGGGCCGCAGCACTGCCTGCCCCGAGCCAGCTACTCTGCCTGGGCCTACTTACTGGAAGTGGCTGGGGAGCATGTTCCAGCTCGCTGGACCGTTGCTCTGGGATTTGCCGAGAGCTCGGCCCTGGTGCTCAGCCTTTGACCCCTCTTGCCCTGACTGTTTGTGCTAGAGAGACAATTAAGCGGCCCACCAGTGTCCTAAGGGAGTGAAACTTCCTCATTGCAGACAGAGGGGATCTGAGGACCAAGAGCAGAACCTAGCATTTATTTCCTGTCACTGCGCTGAATGCTGCAAAGAGAATCTTGCAACCACCTCACAGCAAGCCAGGCCAGGGCAGGTCTTTCCTTCACCTCTGAGCTTTCCAGTGTGTTGCAATGCACTTGTAATGACAATCAGTGTCTCTGAGCCCCCATCTCCCACAACCAGCCAGATCTGCAGCACCGCTGACAGGCTCCAGAGTCAGGACTGACGGCCAGGGCCTGGGGAAGGAGAAATGAAGGACAATTTAAGGGAGCACCTCTTCCCACTGCCCCCCAGATCATCTCGTCCTGTTCATAGCAAACAGGCAGCGCAATCCCCATGTGTTAGGAGTTGGAGTCAGGGAGTAAAGTTTAGGCCTGAATCCGAACTTTCGCAGAGAGTGTTTGGAGCTGGGGTTCTGGTTCCAGCCCATCTTTAGGAAATGGATCCTACACAGGTCTGGGTTTGAAAAGCACTTGAGTGCTAGCGTATTAGGCAAGGAATGCCATTCTGAGCACCAGCTCCCTTGACCCAACAGAGATTGCAAATCCCCCAGACCCCTCAGCAAATGACTCCTGACCAGCTAGCAGACAGATGCAAAACCAACCCGAAAAGCCTGGAGAAAGGGTTGCCAACTTTATATTTTAAAAACAAGGGACTGTTTTCTTAGCGCCCCTGCCCTTCCTCTCCTCTGATATTATTATTATAATTAATTATTAACAGGACTCACCTCTATTCACCATCACGCACTCAGCAACTCCCACTCTTGTTGTACCAAGATGAAAAAATAAGGGACTGTTATCAACCCTTATTGCATGGATCCGCCTAGCGCTCAAACCATCCAGGCTGGTCTCCCACTTGCTGGGCAGTGAAATAACAAGGGGCATTCTGGGCAATTCCATGCAAATGAGCATGCCAGCCAGTGCCCTAACACCTCCCCATGGAACTGGCAGTCCCCGAACTGCACCAGCCATTGAGGCCCGTCTTGAACATCCGTCTGCCATCTGCAGTCTGCTGCAACATAGCCTGAGCTTTCTGACAGTCTGCCTGGTGCATTCCCCCCTCCTGCCCCTTCCTTTCCCAGGACACAGTAAGTCATCGCTGTCCTACACCCTCCTGTTGGGTCTCTGCAAAAATCCTGCCGGGTCTGTTTCAGCCCTGCCTCCCTCCAGTGGGAACACTCATCACCTTCATCCATTGAGCTCAAAACATTTTACAATACAGGGTCAGCATTATCGATTCATGCCCCTTTTACAGCAGAGAAAACCATGGCACCAGGAGGTCAAGTGACACCTCCCAGGTTACCCACACTGAGTCATAAGCAGAGTTGGGAACAGAACCCATACCTTCTGCCTCCCACCCAGCGTCCGGCACGCTGGACCACACTTCCACCCGAAGGTGCCTTTGCTCCCTTACAGCAGTGGTTCTCAGCCAGGGGTACACGCACTCCTGGGGATACGCACAGGTCTTCCAGGGGGCACATCAACTCATCTAGAGATTTGCCTAATTTTACAACAGGCTACATAACGAGCACTAGCAAAGTCAGTACAAACTCAAATTTCATCAGCCCATGACTTGTTTATACTGCTCTGTATACTATACACTGAAATGTCTAAGTACAATATTTTAATTTCAGTTGATCTGTTTTATAATTATAGGGTAAAAATGATAAAGTCAGCCATTTTTCAGTAATTGTGCGCTGTGACACTTTTGTATTTTTATGTCTGATTTTGTAAGCAGGTAGTTTTTAAATGAGGTGAAACTTAGGGTACATAGGACAAATCAGACTCCTGAATGGGGTACAGTAGTCTGGAAAGCCAGTGAGAGCCAGTGAGAGCCAGTGCCTTACAACACCACAAAATGGGAGACAAAAGCAGGACATTTCTAAAGCCATTAGCACTTTTTAAAACCTTTTCTGAAGGACACTGCTGTAACTGACCTTTTGTTAGGTTCAGTATTAATAGCATATCTTTTCCTGTGTTTTGTAATGTGGACATATGTCTAACTATTGAATATAGGTGAATGTACTGACATCTGTAATATTTTGACATACATCTAAGCCAATGAAGATACAGAGCTTGTAGCAATATAGAAATGTTACAGGAAATAAAAATTGGTCTTGAATGCACATCCACCCTGAGCTCCGTGGTAGGCCTGTGAGAAGATGACAGATGCTTACAAGTGAATGTTTTGCTTGCGGCTATGTCAGACCATGTCTAGTGAGTTTGCACAGCTTCTGTGTCTAACTTTCTTATATACACTCTTAGATAAACTGCAGCTCTGCAGCGGGTCACTAGGTATCTGTAGAATCAAAAGGGACCTGGGAAAACTTTAATTAGACATGAGGTATTTCAAACTTTGCCCAATTGAGGGCCCTGTTGGCAACATGTCAGGAACCTGACTGCTTCACCTACTTGGCATTCAATGGAGTAGACTGCAGCCACCTCTCCTCTTTAATACAGAGGTGCAAGAGATTCCAGCATGCAACGCTCCATCTCAATCCCTGTGGCCTTAGGGATGAGGCCAGCCACGTGCTGCCCTGCACAATTCTGTGGGCTGCATTATACAGGATATGCAGCAGCCTCAGTCACCTGCATGCTGAGAAATCCCACGCTGCCATCTAGATAGAATCACTTTGCAGAACTCCACTTGAAGGGCCAGATTGTCAGAGGAATTCAGCTCCCACCTAGGAAACTTCTGACTGGTCTATTTAAGTGCCTAAATGGGAGCTGAGCTCCTTTGAAAATCCAGCCCTAAATGTACACAGTGAACAGGGAATCACAGAAAAAAAGTGAAGCTAAATAAGACATGCTGCAGGGGTCTCATCTGGTCTAGCTCTGGGTAGTGCAAGATTTCTCCTTGTCTGTTCTCAGTGCTTTGTCTAGGACTTGTGCATTTTTATTGATGTCAGTCCAGCAGCAGAGTAAGGCAATTATGTTTGATCAGAGAGAGAGAGCATCCTCTTTCACTGACGTTTTTGTAAGCAGTTTGACTATTCAACTACATATAAACCATCTACAGATCTATGGGTGTGAGTGAGCCAGAGGTGACTGCTGCTTCCGATGGAAGCCTGAGCACATAGCCCAAGGAACAGTAGATCACCAGCACACTGGCAAGGCCCTGCAGTCAGCGGCTCAGGGACCTGTCTGGTTCTGGAAGCCGTTGTAGGTGAATGAGGGGAGGGCTGGTGAGCACGAGGCAGTCTTTGACAGGCAGGCAACATGGTTAACTTCACACTTGCTGGGGTCCTGGTCACTTCTGAAATAGATGCCGTCAGGTGAGTGAACAGAGGGGTCTTCATCGAAATAGTTGTAGGGTCTCAGGAAAAAGCCGACCCCGTTCCCCACAGTCACCGTGTTAGGAATATCCTCCGTGTGCGGGACATGCAGGAAACCAACAGAAATCCAGGCAACCAGGTCCTGGAAGAGGAAGAGACGCATCACTGGGCTATTTCAGGAGAACTGCTAGTTAGGAGAACACACTTGGGGCAGACCCTCTGTAAACACCACTGAGCAACGACCATTGGTCCAGCAGAGACTTCAACACACACAGGGAATGAGGGAATACCCTGATGGCTGTGACATGAACTGCTCTAGCCAGCACTGTGTCTGCCCACCCGTGGACTGGGCTCCCCATCTGCTTGCTGTGTGTGTATGTCTGTCTGTCTGTCCTGCACACTCCCCTGGAAGGTGCTGCAGCCCCCAGTGGAAGGAGAACCCCGCACACCTCGTTTACGATGGTCTCATTGTCTATGAAGTCAGCGAAGGCCACAGTGGGCGTCCAGGGGTCGTTCTGGTTGTAGATGCTGGTGCTGGTTGGCTCCTTCTCTTTCCGTTTGGTGACAGCCAGTTTGTATCTAATGAACAGAGAGAAGAGATTGATTTGCTCTCCCCATGCAGACTGAGCGATGACATCCGTGCTGGGAGCCTGGACTCCTGGATTCTCTTCCGTGCTGAATGAGCCTGGGCGAGATACTTCTCCTCTCCGTCCCTGTTTCCCCAGCGGCAGAATGGCAATGATGATCCCTGCCTCCACGGGTGTGTGACAATTAAGACAGTGCTTGTAAAGGGCCCTGTGTGTTTGTCTGGGCGGAGTGCCAGTGAGACACCCTCTCTGCAAATCAGCAGTGTAGTGGTCCCACTTGCATGGCATCCGTCAGTGGAGAGCACCCCAGGCCGGGAGAGGACCCACCCCACACTTGCTGACGAGTGGCAGGAATACTAGGGGAGAGGATGTGAAATGGAAGGGCCATGAAACCATCAGCACCACACGGTCAGACAGAGGAGTAACGAAGGACAGGATCTGGCACAGGCTGGGTGGTGGAGGGGTACAGTCTGGGGCATGACAGCAAGCACTGGAGAGATTACCCTAGAGCTCTGGCTACATGGACCTTGTGAGCCCCAGATTGCTGCCTCCCAGTGGGCATCACACTGAAGTTAAAGGGACACTGCTCAAGATGACAAGACTCGACATGTAGGTGTTAAATAACAGCCTAGATTCACATAAAGATGGGGGGGGGGGCATAATATCTTTTATTGGACCTCACCCACCTTGTCTCCCTAATACAGCTACAGCGATACTGCATACAACAATCAAGATTCACAGCACTTAAAGCCAGAAGGGACCATAAGATCTATCATATCCCTCCTGTATATGGTAGGTAGCCTATTACATTTCACCGTGTTACTCTTGCATTGAGCCCCAGAACTTCAGAAGACATCATGAGACAGAGAACCAACACTTACCCTGGGAATTTATTCTAATGGTTAATCACCCGCACTACAGAAAACCGAGGCCTAATTTCTAATTTGAATTTGTCTGGCTCCAGCTTCTAGTCAATGAACGACTATGAAGAGAAGCAATTCTGCCACTTTTCTCTTGTATTTTAAAGGCCAAGAATATTTATTTTAATTGTTTAACCTTTCCCCTGTAGGGCAGGTAGCCCCAGCCCCACTGCCCAGGGCTATGGCATGGCCCGTTGATTTCCATTTCCAAACAGAGCAAGGACAAAGTTAGCAAAGAGCCATGGCACAGGGGAAAGGAAATTGGGGTTCGAAATACTTTGGGATTTGTGTCATCAGCAAAATAGCAAAATAGCCTGGAGTATCTCTGGGGCTGAGCCCACGGTGAGTCCCCCCTCAACCGGGGGCCTCCATGTCTGGGTCTGAGCCCACGGTGAGCCCCCCCCATACAGGGACCTCCATCTCTAGGGCTGAGCCCACAGTGAGGCCCCCCTCAGATGGGGGCCTCCATCTCTGGGGCTGAGCCCACGGTGAACCCCCACCCCCAAGACGGGGGCCTCCACCTCTGGGATTGAGCCCATGGTGAGTCCCCCCCCCACCCCAGACAGGGGCCTCCATCTCTGGGGCTGAGCCCACAGTGAGCCCCCCCACCCCCAGAAAGGGGCCTCCATCTCTGGGGCTGAGCCCACAGTGAGCCCCCCCACCCCCAGAAAGGGGCCTCCATCTCTGGGGCTGAGCCCCCGGTGATCATGGGAGCTGTGCCTGGATCCTTTTAAAGTCTATTTTTATCTTCACTCACAGCTCCCCAGGCTCCAGCAGCTGGGCAGGGGGAGCGAGCGCCTCCGTACTCCTGGCCTCTTTCCCTCCACTTTGTCCCAGCCCTGGATGCTATTTCAGCGCAGGGATTTTATCGTTTCCCTGTGGCCGTATTCCCTCCTTGTGTGGGGCTTGCCCCGCCCAGAGGCTGAGCAATGGCAGAGAGGGAAACACCGTCGGCAGAACTTGCACCAAGTCACTTTCTGCTTTGGATCCATCTCTCGGGGTCTCATATCCCTGCTGCCCCAGAGTGACTCCCGTGTGACCCCAGCAGGACAGGGTGGGAGAGCCGGAGTCAGAGGCCCAGCTGGTATATCAATCAGACCACAGCATTCCTGTTGCACCCAAGTAAGGCTGGATGGAAACGGGCCAGCACTGAATACCCTCCTTTATCTTGGCGTCAGACTGGAGAGTCCATCCAATCCAGTGTCCCATTTCTGAAAGCAGCCAGCACCAGATGCTTCAGAGGAAGGTGCAAGAAACCTCATAGCGGGACTTGTGGAATAACTGGTTCCCCTTACTGCCAGGCAAGCAGTGCTTGGCTCAGGCCCTGAAGCAGGAGGCTGCAGGCCCATTGCTGCACCATTGGGGGCTGCTCCCCACAGCCCCGGTTTTGCAGCCACTGGTCCCAGCATCTCACTAACCCAGAGAGGGATGGCAATTCTCTAAGCACAAGCAGGAATTGCTTAATTTCTAAATGTAAACACCTACCTCCCCCAGCTGATGGACCGCTCCATGGAACTGGCTTCTGGCAGAGGGTCACCAGCAAAGCTGACTATCTGGATCCTGTAGCCACGCTGGTTACCCCACTTATTTTTATGGTTGGTGGCAAAGTGGATGTATCTGGGGATCTTGGAGTGAAGTGGGAACACGGCCTTGTCCTCTGTGTCCAGGACTGTCTTGGTGAGCCGTGGCCTCTGTATCTGGTGCTCTGGACTCCAAGGAGCCTGCATGGTATCGAATGTCATGTCATGAGCCACCAGAGAATTCTTGGTTCCTACAAAGCAAAGAGAAAACCTCTGAGAAATTTCACCTTTGGCCTCCTGGGCTTCCCCATAGGTTGTAAGAATCAGGCCTTGGCTCATTCTAAACTGCAAGCTACAGACGCAGGCCCTGCAGATCACTCAGGAGTGAAGAAGAACTGTGTGAAAGATCTTGAACAGAACCAATCTATTGCATAGAGGAAACACCACCCCCTCCAAAGGAGCAGCTGACAATACTGCAGAACAAGGAACTTCCTACTCACTTAGCATGTTGGGACATGAAAAATTCTAGAGTTCTCTCCTGGATCGACTCATCAGGGTGAGGATCCCCAGCCCACCCTGTTGTGCACCCGAACTACTTGCGTCCTCTTGGAAACTCCTCCTTGCTCCACTGCTTTCCATTCTTCAGCCATGTGGGAAAGGTCATTCCCCCCCACAACTCCTGGGAAAAAGGGTGTTCTCCTCTCTCAACACTTAGAGCTAGCATGGGGACCTGAGATTTATCGCACAGGGCTTACTACACAGTGACTGTGTTTCAAAATCACCTGCTATATATCTATGATGTCTCTTCAGGCAGCTCCACCACTAAACGATGTATCTGCCACCCTCTGTCTGTGACATGAGTATAGAGGTAGTCCTTTAATAGGCCCATATTTTTTCATAGGTATCACCAGTCGATATTTAGATCGTTCAGCCATCTAACTCCTCGAGGGTGGCAAGGTGTTACAGTTCACCCTCCAATCCTCTAATTGTGCAACCTTCAAGAGTTTATCGTCCAGTCTTCCAAGAGGTGCTGGTCCCATGGGACTCATGACATTTCATGGGTGGATTAGGGGCGAGGCCCAGCCACCTTTGTTGAGAGGATTAATGTTTAATTTTAGTTGTAAAATACCTTGCGCTTGGCTCAAGAGAGTTTAAAAGTCCAGAAGGGAGACAGAAAATTAGGAGTGGAATATAGCCAAGAGCTAGAGCTCTGCCCCGCCGCTCTCCAGGAGGACACCAAGTGCTTTCAGCCAATGCAACCCAAGTTAGAAGCATCGTATCATCAGAAGACACTTGCTGGCTGATAATGCCCAGAGGGAGAAACTGTTCCTAGAAGCTTCCAACAGCCGCTGCCTTTTCACAAGTTAACTCTTCCATGGGCGTTAAAGCATTCACAGGAGTCACATGACACAGGGGTATTTGCCGTTGAACCCTTCCTGCCCCAGGTCATGCCATGGCAGTCAGGACGGAACTGAAGCTTCAGCTTCTTGCCAGCTGTCCCGTGTGTCTGACACTTGTTGTAGCAGCTGTCCCCTGTGTGCTGAGAATGCCCCTGGGACTTGTTCTGCGGATGCTCCACTACTTAGGCTCACACCTATCGGGATGCTGAGAATCACCACCTAGTGGTTAATTGGACGCTTTACTGGCATGTGGCTAAGTATGGTCGGTATTTCGTCATGCGACGCTGTTTATGCAGAAAGTCACTAGCAAGAGTAATCTGTTTTCCATGCTATATCCTACTCTAATAGCTGGGTTTGATTCCTGCAAGCATCCCCTTTGGGGCTCAGTAGGTCTCTTACATACAGTGGCCTCTTACCTGTGCAGAATTAATGCATGCCCCCACAGGTGGATTGGAGTGAATCTGTCCGAGTCTCTTATTCCCACAAGCAGTTAAGTTATACTCTTCCATGTTCAACGCTGAATCCTTTCTCCTCCCCCCAGGGAGGTGGTTGCATCCAAGATCTATGGCACGCAGTCAGCAAAGTTTGTGTCCTCAATTCCTAAACCTGCCAAAGTTTTATGTTTTTCCTATGGAAGTTGATCCAGAAGGTTTTCTAATTTAATCTGGCTTCTCCACTTTATCTGCTGCTCTGGTGAGTTTCTGTGCCACTTAGTTACACTGATCTCCAGCTCGCTTTATGGGGAGGAGCCCTGGCCAGCTCCCTGAAGTACGAACTATAGAATGCAGAGCTTATATCCAGAGGCCCCAAGTCTTGCTGCATTCCAGCTTCTTTACACCATTTCAGCACAGGGCAGATCCCAGAGCAACCCAGGGCTAGTGTAAGGACTACTCCTACGCACTCCCCTCCTGGCAGAGTGAGCCAGGGGTGGGAAAGGAGACGGCTGCCTGATCCCTTTGAGTTGCAGTTGTTCTGGGCTGTGGGAATCTGCCTTAAATTAGGTTCTAATTTACACTGGGGGATGGGCAGGACCTGGCCAAGCCCAGAACTCAGAAGCCCCCTTTGCGCCACCTTGGGCCGCTCTTCCCAGAATGTGGTTCTACAAAGATTACCCTGCAGTGCTGGGTGTCCTTCACAATGCACAGGCATGAGAGAGAGAGAGAGTGAGCGCGAGCGCGCGCGAGCGCACATGCAAAGAGACCTACCTCCAACATCCAAGTCCACTTTATAACTGATGAGATGGTTGTGTATTGTCCCCAGGGTGTGTTCCCCAACCTGACTGCCATGGTCAGTGCCTGTGCCATAGTAAAAGGAGGAGCTGATATATCCGGTGGCGTGGATTTTTACTTCAATAGCTCCATTCTGGTAGAATATGAAGTCCCAAACGTAGTCATAGTTTATGAGAGTTGAAATGGCTCTAAGAACAAGAGCGTATTTAGCCAGACCCCCATAGTACAGGGACTGCAAGTTGGAGTAATGGCGCCTCAGCGGGACTGAAGCATCCTGCTCGAAAATACATAAGGAGTTTTTATTAACTTTAGGGGTCTCTGATTCAACTAGATAGTGTCTATCCACATAGGTGGCTGTGTAGGGGCAATCAACACCTCTGACCAGCTCACAAGCAAACCTGCCGATGCCAAAGCTCCCATCCATGTATCTGGTCACCATCCCTCCAGGACAATTAGAGCCATAGACAGCAAGGGCTTCTTGGAGACTCAGCTCATAGACAATCCTCTCTCCTTTGAACTTGATGTCAAAGAGACGTGGTCCTGTATTCACATCCATCCCAAAGGCGAAACTCCAGGACTGGAAGATGACTTGATTGTTTTGGATGCTGTAGCGGGGCCCACGAGGCTCATATTGCAAAGGGCCTGGTGCCATGGGGACTACTCTGGGCCTCATGGAACCAAATTCCTCATCAGGTCGGACTTTCTTAACTTTTACACTTTTCATGTGGCCTTCTGTGAACTCGCTCTCCAGCTGCTCCATGTCTTGATAGTACTGGCCATTATAGAACACTTGGCCTATCCTCCACTGGGAGATGTCCAGGCTGCTGTGATTAACCAGCACCTCCAGCCCCACTGGGTGCAGATAGTAGCCACTGCCATTCACATTCTGGAACAGAACAAACCAGGTGGCACGATCTCCTGACTGGAACCCCCGAGGAACCGTGGTGAGGGTGGCAAAATTGGTCCCATCATAATCACAGCACTCTCTAAGCAAGCTTGGTGCTTTGGAGAACTCCTGGTAGACAAAGTGGTCAATAGCTTTGTATTCCTTCTCAGTCACTGGTCTGCGGTGGTACGGCAGCTTCCCTCCATACTTCTGCACTGTGAGATCCCTGTGAGTCGTCGGCTTTGGCAGGGGACCCACCACGTACTCCGTGACATTCGGGTCTGGTTGGTTTCCAAAATACACCACAGCCAGCGCCTGCCGGGGGGGTTGCCTGTCCCCATGATCCAAGAACCCCAGCACCTCTGCCTTGGTGGGGAGCTGCACATCGATGTAATAAATGCAGTTATCAGAGGGGTTTGCATTATAGGCGTCCACCAGTGGCACCCCAAGGCTGCTCTGCAGGTACCTCACCACTTGCACCATTTCTTCTGGCGTCAGATCAGCAAAGACCAGGCTCTGGTCACTGTGCTTTCCCTGCAGGGTGCTCAGGGTCTGCGGCTCACAGCTGGTTGGTTTCACTCCTCTAGTCAGCAACACACAAACCAGAGCGAAAATTGTGGCTAGCGCCAGAACCAAGAGGATGAGGACAGTTTTCAGGTTCATGTTGCTGCAGCTGCAGAGCTGGCTCCTGAAGCCTCACAGAATGGGGGGGCCTGCTGCAGTCAGCCTTGCTGCTGGACGCGTTATTCCAGGAGACGCAGGCTGTGTCTGTTTGTGGGGAGGTGCAGAGCTGGAGGAGGGAGATGTGGTGAGAAGACGCTTGAGGTTTGCTGGCAACCATAAAAGGCTTCTTCTCCGTCTCCAGACCATTCACAGGCTCAGCTTCTTAAGCAGCACTTTATGCCTCCACACAGCTCACTTCCTGGCCAGCTCTTCAGGAGGCAGGTTACCGATGCTGCTCCCAGCTCCGGGGTCCTTGGGGCAGGGATGGCTTTAGAGTCCTTTTAGAAAACACAAGCATAGACCCAAAAAAACAGGGAAAGCAAAATGCTCAGGCCAACAAAGCAGAGACGTTGAAGAAGAGAGATGGTCTGCTAGGGGCTTCTTGCCAGATGCTGTAACTCGATCCCTCCCTGGCTACAGTCCACTTCTCTGCAGCCCTGTCCCAGACTTTCCCCCTTCGGGCTTCCCTCGGTTTTGCTCCTAACGGTTCTCCTGCAGGGCGATTTACTTGGTTACATCCCAAGAGCTGTTGTTCGGGCTGATCAGGCTGGACTCGTCTCTTGCACCTGCTCTGCTCACTCCTTTATTTAGCGTTTGAGGGCAAACGGGCCTGGCTCTGCCAGGGGTGACTCCCTATATCTAGTCCCTGTTCCAGCCTCCTGCTGCTGTTCCTCTCTCAACACCGCAGGGAGTTCCTCACTGGGTGTGTGGCACCTTACTCTGTGAAAAGCCCTCTGGAACGGAACTCCTCCCTGGCAGTACAACCCAGCGGGAATAAGAGAGGCCGAACTGGGCCCATGGGGGCTAGGGACTCTTTCTTTGCTTGTCAAGCACCCTGCACATTGCTGAGGCTATCTGCAATAAAAATCATAGTAACAGAGGCTGCTGGGAGGGGAATGGGGCTGCAGGAGGGTTCACGGATTACCTGTTTGCCTTTAGAAATAGTGTTTATATTATGTAGCAGCACCCAGAGGTTCTGGGGCCGGTCGGAGCTGCCTGGTGATGGGCACTGAGCAAACATACATGGAGAGACAGAGCTCACAGATGCTATGAAATAAGCCCAGAGAAAATAAGCAAATCCCACTCCCATTCCCCATATTTTGGGGGTTGGATGTACCAATCACAAATGTGCTGTAGGCGGGTTGCTGATGATGGCCAGACAGGGTCAGAGACCAACAGTGTCTCATCCCCTCAAAAATCTCCTTCCCCATGGCATACCCCTCCCATCCGGTTCGGAGCTGGATTTGGCGCAGAAAGATAGGGTGGCAGCAGCGAAGCCCAGGATGCTCTGACTCAACTCACTGTCACTCAGTTTGCCTCGTCAGCAAATTGTCCTTTTCCATCCCTAACCCCCACGTTCAGCAAATGCCCCATCTCCCTCAGGCTCTGCTCCCATCCCTACATTTCCTGCCCACCTCTGCAGCCTTCTCTCCTGCTGTTTAGGACATTAGGTGTTTTCCCCTCTTCCCATTCCCCTCCCTTCCTCTTTTAAAGTCATAAGTTCCTTTCACCAAATGCTTGGAGAGCCTCCAGCTCTCACTGTGTAGCTAGAGGTGACCAGGCTTTGCTTTTGTAACAGCTGGGCAGGGCTGGCTCCAGGATTTATGGTGTCTCTGAAACCTGCATGTTGTCAAAATCAAAGCGTTCCCTGCATGCACCCTGAATGCACCCCCCACGCAGAGCTGACCCAGGTGACTCTCTGGCCTCATCCTGAGGGCTGCTGCCCCCTCAATACCAGGAACAGGTGAGGATCTGGACTCTGCATAGGGGTGGGGGCTACACCCCTGATTGGTTAAGGCCCCATGTCCTGTCCTGTCCCACCAGTTTGGCAGAAATTGCAAGCTCAGCTCAGGCACTTTGAAATTTAGTCTCCGTGGGTGTTGAGCGGGGAGGGGAGGGGGGTTAGACCAACCCTTCCTGTGATGGAGGAGACATCTGAGCTGCCCACTCTGCCCCTTTCCTTCCCAGGAGCCCGTTTCCAACCCCAGAATCATTTCCAAATTCACTCCTTCCATGCTTCCTCATCCTAGGGGTCTCTCACAGTGGAGCAGGGCAGTGTCCCAGCAGATAAAATGGCCATCTCCTCTCGCGGCCAGGTCAGCGGCGCACTGGGCCCTTTTGGCAATATGTCCCTAATTCTGGCCTAGGGACCATCCCTCTGCGCAGGGGCATGGCCCTGCCTTGTGACTTGATCCAAACCTGTCTGCAGAGCCCCGTCCCCTTGGCAGGCAGCGGGAACAGGCCCTGGCTGGGGATGCTTGTTGCAAGGCAGGTATCAGAGGGGGCCCCAGGGCACAGAGGGATGGGCTTGGACAGGCTGAAACTGGGAGAAGCCCCCTAGGAGTGAGATGGGTAAGGCAGCGCCATCCCCTGTCTGTGGGGAGCAGGGCTGCCCAGCCCCTGGCACCCACACGGTGCTCGCACCAGGAGTGCCCGCCGTGTCTCAGCTGCACTCCCACGACGGGCCCTGGCCCTGCAGCGCCTCCTCCTGGTCCCGGGCTGCTGTGGCAGCTGCCAAGCAAGCAGCCTCTGCCTCCCGTCTCACTGCCCCAGGCTCCAGCCCACAGTAGCAGAGACTCAAGGTGAGGGGGGGCCCTAACACCAGCCCCACAATCACTGTTGCTGGCTTCCCTATCAGCCCAGCACCCACCCCTGCACCCCCCCAGCCCAGCACCCCATCTACCCACCACCAGCCCAGATACCCCCAAGCTACCTCTGGACCAGCACAGCACCCCCCAGCCTGCTCACCAACCCCAGCCCTGCACCCCCCAAGCCCTGCATTAGGATGGGCGTTATGGGAACGAATAGGGCTTGGTGTCAGTCTTGTGGGACAGCCCTAGCTAAGAGCAGTGGGAGGTGCAGGCTCACCTGCTGTCTAACCTCCCAGGCCACAGAGGAAGCTTGAGTTCAGATTCTCTCGTAGTACCCTCCGAGGTCACATTGCCTCCCCCACAAATGACCAGGTCTCCCGGAGCAAAAGCTGGCCTAGGCCCTTAGTCTGCTTCCTTTGTAGGATCAAATTCATCTGGGTCTGGAGCCTCAGCAGTCCCATCATTCCCCAGCTGCTCTAAAAACCATGCTTCCTCCTCGGACAACAGACCCCCGATCTTGGGAAGGAGCCTCCTCCCTTTGGACTAGGGAGGGACGAAACTTATTTCAATGTCCCCTTGTCACTAACATCCTTCCAATGATGAGCCCTAATGGTCTCATTAGCTTCTGGCCTAGCCCTGGCCAGTGCTTGGTCTTCGTTTCCTCCACTCGATAGTCCACTCACTGCATTGACCATTCTTAGCCATTTAACAGGTCTTTCAGGTCTCCTTGCCTGCCTCTGCATCATCAGCCCAACGTTCTTTTGTGCTCCAGGCAGTGGAAGCTGCTTTGCACCCTGGTATGTGATACGAAAGAGTGTGCAGTGTCCCATCCCATAATATCACAGCCATGACACCTGTGAGTGAGTGGCTTGTAGAACCCCCTCACCCTCATGGTCTGGCTCGATCCAGCACCTTTCAGTTCTAAGCATCCCATTCATTTAAATATTGAACAGCTCACTTGTCCCTTTTGTGGCTTGTGATGACTCAGGGGCTCCTTGTGCCCCATCTACTATTCTGCGGATCTTCAGACATCTTGCTTTTACATCAAGTATTTACCAGAGATCACTGTCCCCAAGGCTGCTCACTTAGGGAGCAGATGCTCAGGAGCCAGTTGTCAAATCTTCATCCCTTATTCCTTTCCTGTTGTTGAACTACCCAAAAGGTCTGGAAAGCGAAGTGAGTAGGAATGACTTAGCTCACAGCCTTCTGCAGGGCACCAGACTCTCACTGCAGCCAGATCAGACCCTCAGGAGAGGCCTCAGGCTATCGGGCTTTATATATCTGATGTTCCTGAAAGGCACTAGCCCATGATGAGGACTGGCTAACCTCAGTGAGATCTCACAGATGCTGTACGGCTTGTGCTTTCTCAAGGCTGTGATTTAGCCAAAGCTTCAGGCCAGAGCATGTTTTTAAAGTTGACATATAAATGTAGGCAGCGCACACTCAGCCTGTGCAATTCATTTCTGGGGGAAGGCCGAAGGTATAACTGGATTCAAAAAAGAACGAGATAAGTTCATGGAGGACAGTCCATCAATGGCTATTAAACAAGATGGGCAGGGACGCAACCCTATGCTCTGGGTGTCCCTAGCCTTTGACTGCCAGAAGCTGGGACTGGACGACAGGGGATGGATCACTCAGTGACTGCCCTGCTCTGTTCATTCCCTCTGAATGGCCATTGTCAGAAAACAGGATCCTGACCGAGATGGACCATTAGTTTGACCCAGGGCGGCTATCTAGTCACATGTGCTTATGCCAAGACTCTTCGCCCCTTCAGCCTTCGTGGACACAGGCCGTGCCACACAGCTGCAACGGTTTAGGAATAAGGCATTTGAGATAACTTTGGACCAACATCAAGCTTCATTATTTTCACCTGAGCTAGTTACTACTCAGCATTTATTACTGTTATCGGAGGAACAGAATTCACTCTCCTTCTCCCTGCCTCCCTCCATGCGACAGACTGGATTTAAACAAGTTATTCTAAAAAAGACTAATGCAAATTCTAACCTGACGGTGCACCGAGAATGTTATGTTTCCCTTTAAAGATAC